CACCACTCAGGACAGTTCGGACATTGCGTGAATCAGAGGTAAAAAAACGATATAAATAAAGTTCAGTTTCTTGCACAGACCGATCATTTTGTGTCTTTACACATCAATGTATCGTCACGAGCCGCAGGGTTTAATTTGGTTTTGTGTATGTTTTTTTTACTCTCAAAGCCGTGATTCCCATTCACCTCCATTATAAGACTGACAGACTGCAACGGTTTGGGTTAAAAATCTTCTTTTTTATTTAGTCGGCTAAAGCCTAATGGGTTGTAGCGTCTGGACCACCCAAACACACAATATATACTTTGTTAGCTAGATTTAACAAATACTCTGTAACACCCCACGAACAGGCCCCTGGTTTCATGGTAACCTGGACACCCGATACATTTACAACCTTGTGGAATGTGAGTTGAGACTCTCAGCTGCATTTCACAGAAGCAAGAGGCACAAAGGCAGAGTAAAAATGGACTTTGCTACTAATTAATTCATTGGAAAACCTTTCTTTGAATGAACACACATATTCTTCAGGCCATTGTGTATATTATTGCTGTTTTGTATTAATCTGTTGTATTATAGACTATTTTATTCATGCTTACGATAAACCACTCATTCATATAACCTTACATATACCGTGTTTAGTATCTATGAATTCGCCTTCTGATGATCTAAACAAGAGTGTATATTATATGTTGGTACATAGGCAATATAGTAGTGTCCTGAGAATCTTTAGTATTTTCGATTCAAGTTCCAGATACTAAGTACCATGTTTCCACACAAAGAGTCATAAACTCCCCAGGATCTCAAAAACGCCCACTTGGGATTCCGGCCTTTCTCATTGGATAAGCCCATCTTGAGAGGCGGGGATCTTCTCTGACCTTAAAGCTGACACACCATGTGACCCGCCCAGTCGGTGGTTCGGTCAGATGCTAAGATGAAGATGTGAGAAAACGCTTCAGGATATCAAAGCATTGTGCCAGGCTTCGGCCTTGTCCTTTCCATTTCAATCAAGATTCTCTGACCCAGAACTGGTTCTTTCTCATCAACTAACTTCAGCAAAAGATCAACTGGAAACCTTAAGATTGCATCAGGAATCTCTTTCAGACAGCCGAGACTCGCAAGTATCAAACTTAGTCTTATTAATTGATACATTAAGTATCAGTTACACCTTTTTACAAGGTGTGTTTGAACTGAGAATCTGACGTATCCCCAGGTGTAGATCTGCTGAATATGCAAAGTGT